GGGAGCGCCGCCGCACTTCCCAAGCGGCGCACTGTAGCAGTGCACCACCGGGCCGGCCCTGAACATTTCACTTTTGTGGATTAGTTTTAAATGATCATAACATTTTATGTTATGCTTTGGCTATATTTTCATTTCATTTTTTTCTTCATAAAATATCATGTGGCTTAGAGCCATCAGAAAAGAAGCAAGGGACCTGCTTTTAGAACATTTTACTGGGCTTCAGTATCTTGTGGAGTCACTCTAGATTCAGTGTTTGGTCCTACACTATACAAATTTAGAAACTCACCATGAAGTATTGAGGCATAAAAATTAACCAGTGCTAATCAGTCTCAGGAAAAACTGGTTTATAATGAGAATGGCATTTTATTATGAGAACTTTATTGATAGAATATCTAACATCAGTAATTTTCTCAGGGTACCTCCTCCTGAAAGTCAGTCAATTCCAATAAAAAGAAGTTTTTTAAAGATGTTGAGTAATCTGAGACTTAGAATTAAGGGAATAAGATGTTTTAAAGAATATTTTTGTTTAGCTGGATTAGCTGTATATATCCCTTTCTCCACAGTTTAGGTATTTCTGCCTAAATAACTGGTATCTTCCATAAAAGATAGCACTGTCACTTTGTTTACAGTAAGGGGAAAATTATATTTGGACCCTTACCTCACACCACACATAAAAATCAATTCCAGGTGGATTGAAGGCCTGAATGTAACAGGTGAAAGAATAAAGTTTTTAGAGGAAAATATAGGACAGTCTTTCATGACTTGGGAAAGCAAAGGACCAACCATAAAAGGAAAAAATTGATAAATTGGACTGTTTTAAAACTTTATGAAAAGAAACTTTTTCTAGTGTGAAAATACTGCCCACAAAATGTGAGATATGTGCAAGAAAATTGAATAGAAAAATGGTCAAAAGACTTGAACTGCCCTTCACAAGAAGAGATATTCATATAAACCAGTAAACATATGAAAAGGTATTCAACTGGGAAATGTCATCATGGAAATGCAAATTAAAACCTCAGTGAAGTACCACTACATCTTCACTAGAAAAGCTAAAATAAAAAAAGGAAAATACCAGGTAGATTTTCCTCTTGGGTGAGGATATAGAGCAACTGGACCTCTCATAAACTGCTGGTGGGAGTATAAATAGATAAAAGTCACTTTGGAAAACTGTTTAGCAACATCTGCTAAACCTGGATGTATGCATACCCTATGGCCCAGAAATTCTACTCCAGGGTATACAAC